TGCCCTACATGCCCAACGTCCAAGAAGCAGCCAACGAAGTTTTGCGCTTGCTGCAAACAAGCAAAGTCACTACCCAGCAGCTGAAAGAGGCCGCCACACGCTACGGTCTCCCCCTCAACCGGGTCAATCGCCTCCCCATACGGAGCTTGCAACAGCTTGTGCGTGTGGGGGCAGCCATCGGCTGCTGACTCGCTGTCCTCAGCCAGCAGCAACCCAGCCACACCACCCTACAACACCTGTTCCACTTACACAGAGCACTTTCCATTTTGATCCACCACACCCAATACATCGACCGCGCCGAAGCCACCTTTGCCACAGGCCTTATCCACATCACCTTGCTTTTTGCATATCCCTCCAGCACCCACCGCTCACAACAATGGCGCAATCGTTTTCGCCAGCTCCACATCCTACCTCACACTTACCACTACCACAACTTCCTCTCGTCTAACTCGGTCTACATCAAGCTCCACTTCAACCCTGACCCACCCCAACGCTGCTACCACCAACATGGCCACTTCTATGTCGGCTCCACCGCCATTGGCATCCCTCACAGAGAGCATAACCGCCGTGCCAAACTCAAACAACTACAGAACAACATCCCCATTTCCGCTGAGCTTTCCCTACGCTACTGGCATTCCCACAACAATATCCACCACTACACCACCATCCAACTCACATCCCACGACACCTACGACCAAGCATGGATCCAGGAACACCACTACATTGCCAACTGGATGCCTACCCTTAACTGGCCCTTCATCTCACACCACCTCAAACTCAAAGCTCAGGGATGGCAGTTCACGAAGCATCGAGCGCATTTCTACTCCAGATTAGGCACTCACAAACGACTCTTCCGACGCCTTCGTCAACGTCAGCACACCCTCCGAGAACCACACCTCTACACCTCTACCAAACATCACGCTCTTACGCTCCTCCGCAATCTTACCAAGCATACAGCAGCTTCCTTCGAAGCAGCCAAACAATTGCGCAGTGGCCAACATGATCTTGAAGTCTACGCCATCCGGCGTATGGCCGCCAATCTCGAAGAACCTGGCCGCAGCCGAGCTCTCCACATCATCAACAAAGCCCTCCTGTATCGCAACCTCACACCACCCAAACCCAACATCCCATTAACAGTGCCTTTCCTGGCCCACGAAGACTTCACCAAGCATTGCCAACAGTGGCTCCGTACCACTATACAACACCACAAGCATCTCGCTATCCCCTTGCACCTCCCGTCACACCGCCTCCGGGAAGCTGCGCGCAAAACTCTACGATCCCAACTACACAACCGCCGCACCTGGGAGGACACTCTCCATTCCCCGCCGGACCCGGCGGACCTCCCCTGCGCATGCCACCATCTTCGAACTCTACTGCAAGATCCTGATACACCCACCATCAATGGCCATTACATCCTCACACTGGATCAACTTCACCTCCCCACACACCTCAGCATCTTTCTCAACGCCAACATGAACAGCACCTACTATCCAAGCAAGGCTCGCTACTTCCTCACTTTTCGGACAGCCTACACAAAATGGCTTAAGATGCAGGGATTACCGCCGTCCCTCGTGGAGCACTTACACCCTTTCCTCGAACACCAATGGCGCCTTCACACCACACACCTTAAACAACAACCACGCTTTACAGCACGACTGCTTCGCCAACTCCAAGAATACCTGGGCCAAAACACAGTGCTTCACCATGCCGATCATGAGCTTCAACAACTCCGACTGTTCTGCCCCCGCCAATACTTCACTGGCGCCTTGAACACATGGCAATCCTCCGAACTTTTCGAACCACTTCCCTACCTTACAGCCGCCAACATCCACGACCATCTCAAAGCCACCGTCCCACCCACCTTACGCACCCGCTACAAATGGGTTTCCGCAAGGATTTCAATATCCCCTACGGAGTGGTCCACCTCAAGGAGAAGAAGCAATGGCAGAAAGGCCGCGCCATTATCTCCTACTTCCATTCACTCAGCGGCAACCTACTCCGCATCACCAGCCGAGCCCTCGACATCATCCTTCAGCACCTCTATCCCCAACACCCAGGGCAACTGTCTATTCCACAACTATGGCACCATTTCCACAGCTACCTCACCCAAACCCCCGCGGACATTTCCCTGCGCGCCACCAACGACGACCTCGTCGGTTTCTTCAACTCTGTCCCCCAACACAGACTCATTGATGCCGTACACTCTCTGATTCACCACTGGCAACAACAGCAATCAACCCACACCATCACAGTGGATGTCCAAGCCACCGGCAACCCCTTCCACCACTCGGCAGACACCACCGCAAACATCCCACGCAACGCACCATCCAGACCTCCGACATCACCACAATCGTAGCCTTTGCACTCAACACTTGTATTTTCCGGGCTTGCAACAACACTTACAAGCAAATCCGAGGAGCTGAGATTGGCTCCCAACTCTCTCCAGCCCTCTGCAATGTAGCCATTGCACTCATTGAACATTCTTGGCACCAGATCCACAACAACCTCCTGCAACGCACAAGCCTACACTTCACCTACTACCGATATGTCGACAACCGCTTCATTGTCCACAACGAACATTTCCTACACCATCCTGCCATCCAGACCCTCATCCACCACAACTTCTTCGGCGACCCAGTGAGTGGAACTCGAGCCTGTGGACGACTTCCATCTCCTGGGTTTCAACATCGACCTCCAACAACGCACAACCACCTACGTGCAACCTTCCCAACCCTGGAAAATCCGGGACTCCACCACCGCCGGGAGCCAGCGCTTGGCTCTGTCAGGCATCCAATCCAGACTTCACACCATTCGAAAATACACATTTCCACCCTCCAGCGCTGAAGCTGCTGCAGCCGAGCTAGTGAGGCTCTATGTCCAAAAAGGACACAGCTACCACGCCTGCCACCGGTTTTTGAAAAAGCGCCGGAGCCGGCGACTTGTGTGTGTCCACCCCTGGACCAAGGGTTTCTTCCAACAGATTCACCTACCGATTGTTTCAACACCGATTCCCAAGCAGGGGAGTGGAGCAGGCCTGCAGAGCTCCACTTAACAAAGCTCTCTGCAGTGTCCTAAAAAAATCGGCCAGGACGCTGGCCGACGTACCTGCTCGTTCTTTCACAAGCTGTTACTCCACTTTTCCACTTTTTGATTCATGGTCCTTCATGTTACTTTCCCCACAATCACAAACAGGTCTTTTCCACAGCTGACTGCAGCCTTGCACCGCGCCGACCGAGTGACCGATCGTCTCTGCAGACTTGAACAACAATGTTTTGAAACACCTACAAGTTTTCGGACTTTTCACCATGCGGTTCTGTCACCTTCCTTCCCAACGTGGTAACTGAGTCACTGAAAACCAATGTCAGAGTGTGTAAGTGTGAGTGTCGAAGTGTAAGCGTCGAAGTGTCAGTGTTCAAAGGATTTTCCGGAAGAACCCTTTGCAATGCTTTCGGGAAAAAGTGGCGTATCCGTGGTCGTGGGCTTCAGCCATCTCAGATGGTTCTTCATTGATATCGTCATAGTCTTGCAGCATCGCTGGTCCCCATACTCAGGACGGTAGCCCTCAGTGGTCCAATTTTCATCTTCATAAGTAGGCGTCCTCCCAGGCATGGTTGAAGTCTTGCGGCGTAGCCACGACCTTTCCTGCGCCTGGGTTTGCCCACCAGCCGCCCTCTAGTCCTGGCAGTGATGCGTTTTGCGAGTCAGTGAGGCGCCGCCGTGAGACTGTCCTTTGAAACCTGCGTGGATTTCCATCGTGAGCTCTTCGCACTGGCTTTGTCGAGACAACCGTTATGCTCCAAGGCACCGCCCAACTCATCGACGCTCTTGCAGGGAGGTGGCTTCTGCAAAAAGGCTGGGGTTGCGACTCTTGTCATGGAACGCGTGGACCATACTCTGCATTCACAAACAGTCAACTTCTGCTTTGCTGAGCGTTTGAGAGGTACCTTAACTTGCGCACCAAACCTTGCCCTATGAAATATGATCATTTTGGGACCCCACTCAGCAAATTCTTGATTGCTTTCCGCTGTATCGAAAGCGGTTGTTGTCCAACCGCTTTGTATCCACCATCTCACCCAACGATTCCCTCTAGCCCTGGAGCCTAATGGTGATTGCGCTCTCCTCCTCCTCCTCATCCTCCTCCTCCTCCTCCATAGCGTCTTGCTCTTTCCTCTTTCGTCCGACCCTGAATGTACTGTCAGCGCCTCGATCTAGGTCTGCTGCCCTAACATGGTCTGACCATGTCTGACCTTTTGTCTATTGAGCCCTTCTCAGCTCCTCTCTTGATTAGCCGAAGGTGCAGAGGCGTTGTGTAGGCTTCGCGCAATCCGCAAGATAGCTGCTGGATTAATCCGCAGCATGAGCTTTAGCTGCTAAGGGGGCCCTTTCATTTGCAGGAAATGATGTCTTTCGAGTGCTTTTTGAGGGCTTTTGAAGATTGATAAAAACTCCGTGTGTCCTGCTCGAAAGAGACAGACAGACTGACAGACCGATGCAGACATACGGAAACAGACAGACAGACCGAGACAGACAAACCGAGACAGACCGACCGAGACAGACTATTGACATCTTGCGTGTGTTCGTCGGCGTGTCCTGCCTGACCGAGACAGGCAGACCGACAGACCGAGACAGACAGACCTGACCAGCGCAAGTCGCTGCTTCCCGCGCCAGTAACCAACCCGTATCCTTGTGGGGGTGCTACTGACGCATTATCCATTTAATCTGCGCAGGCGGCTTCTACCCCGAAGCGGTGTGAATACAAAAATGCAATGCCCAAGCACGCAAACAAGTGTATCGACCGGCTTGTTGGGAACGCTAGAATCCGAAAGCAAGCGGACCTTTGTTCAACGCTCTGCCCCGGGCCAGTCTCCGACTCACTACCGTGAAAGACCATAATTACGCAGCCGGTGCGCAACTGTTTTCGGGCCACATTCTAGCGGAGTATGTGTGCGTGATGAGATTAGCGCATGCGTCTCAGCAAGTTATTTCCTAAGGCAAAGCGCCTCGTTTTGTTGCTGCTGCAATCGCTTGATTTCCACCTGCAAACAGAATAGCGCTTGGAAGGATAGCAGGACACATGAACCAGGCTCACAAAGTAGCACCTGCCCTCGGCGCCAAAAGTCTTCTTGATTTGCAAAAAGTTTGGCCTCGGCCCGCTCAGGCTGCCCCCTGCCCTACAAAAGCAATCATAGCGGAACACCGACAAATGTCAAGCCTTCAACATCTACAGAAAGATCAGAAAGCATTGGGCAATCCCTTCCTTTTGCAAAGTCAACCTCTCCAGGGATTGCAAGCTCTTGAAACAATTTTCTTTCCTTTTCTTTCTCTTTAGTGTGGCAGATCAGCTTTGAAGACTTTGGTATGGTGGACTAGTGTACGGCGTCTGGAAGCTTGGGGCTGCAGGAGCAATGGGCATTGCTCGGTGAGTTGTGACTCAGCCGGTTGAGCACCTTGTGAATTCAGTGACCCTGCGCCCTGCACCCTTGCTTCTTGGCGTCACAGTTCTTCCAGGAGCAGGCAACGCTGTCATCTCCGTTGCAACATACCGGTTCGACGGGGGTTTGGTCAGCAGTACCTTCTTCGAGGTTTCGGAAAACGCAATAAAAGGGTTGCGGAGAGGGTACTCATTATGTATTAAATGTTGGGGTTTCATTGCTGTCGTATATCAACTTTACTATATGTTAGTTCATATTTTCAACAATGTTGTCAACAAAGACTCTAGGCACAACCAACGGCCGACGCACTCGATCTTGCACACGCGCAGTAAAAACCACTACAACTACAAAACAACGACAACACAAACTTTCCAACCGCAGCCAGGCCTCCCTCTCTGCCAACATGTTGAAAGGCCGTCGCATACTTTCACCCCATAGGCCCCTGCCTGTATCTCACCCATGATCCTGGACTGCACAGCCTGACGAAAAATAACTGGTCAGACAGAGTTGCGGACTAAGTCCCGCGCTTTGGAAAGGTTTACAAACAAGCAAGCTTGATCTTGGTACAACTCGGAGTGCAATCTCTGGTCAGCTGCTCTTCAACCGTCTCTTTGAGCTACAGCCTGTGTGGATGCATTGGTATGATCCAGGATCTTCGAGATGAAGGAAGTTTTTGTTCTTACCGGGTCGTACAACGCGTACATATAAATATATATATATATGTGTGTATATACTGGGGTCAGATGACTTAGGCCAAAGTGGTCCGATATGAGATACAGCTTTGCCAGGGAAAGCCCTAAGTCATGTAGAGGTGTAAAATTGGCCATTTCAATGGCAAACGTTCGCGACATAGGCTAGTTTGACCCGTTTTCATCGCATTTCTTCCAGTCCTCTTCCTGGAAGATTGAGCTAGTGAAAGAGAACATGTCATAGGAACGTCACTATGTCTTTATCCTTTGCGATAGTCGTGTGTCATGGACTGTTGTGGACTCTCTTGCTCGATATATGGGGTCTGATGACTTAGGACGTTTGCCTGTTTCAAAACCAATGCACAAGCCACGCAAAGCCGCTGAAATGGAATGCGTGACTTAGGCTTTAAGCGCCGACAAGACAGGAGTGCAGTGCAGTGAGTACGGTGTTTTGACGTACGTACAAAGAAACAGGTGGTTCAAAAGTGATGAACAGGAGGAAATTGCTGCTCTCTGCAGGTAGGCGTGCTTTTGCGATGTGATTTCTGGTTGGGTGAAGGTAATTAGGCGCGCAGTGCGCGCAAGTCCTCAGACATAGGACTCGCTCTCGTTCACGGTTGCGCCCCCGGATGCTTGGCAAGCCAAGTTGGCAAACAGAAGGAGACTAGGCGGTGAACTTTTTGTCTGGCGTCTGTTTAGGTGAAAGTGATTGGATGCAGAATGCCCGCAAGTCCCAAGTCACAGGGGTCTTGACAACGATTCCACCCTTTTCTCCATTGCGCCAGCAATGTTGGCAGAACGGGAGGAAATTGCTGCTCTCTGCAGGTATTCCAGCCAGTGAGCCGGTTCTTCCTGATCTTTGCTGGAGGCGGGTTGTTCTGACAAGGGGGGATGCTGTCGCGCTTGGAGTGGTAGTAGGTGGCAATGGAGTCACACCAAGCATGGAGGCTGTGAGGAGCCTTCCCCCGCGCCAGGTTTGCCCATGAAGTTGGGCTCTTTTTAGTGCACGAGTAAAGGATTTCTTCTTGGGATAGGGCTGGTTGGAGTCCAGGCGTAAAGGTTGAGGTCCTTGGCCACTTGGCTTCGCCATGGATGGTGCGCGGAGAGCCGCAAAAAAAGAGGTGGCTTCACTGGATCGCCTGTTCACAAAGTACCCTGTCCGGGGACTTGGGACCGTGGCGAGCGTCCAACTTTCCAGGGGTATTTGGGGAACTTGCAGATGTGTCCAAAGGGCAATCACTGCTTTTATGGTCAGACGGACAGTGGACCACTCTCCTTGCCAACTGGCCAGAACCTTTTCGCCAACATGATGTGGTTGACTTCATCACATTCTTCAACAGCTGGAGCCCTTTTTCCATAGCTGTTGTTGGGAATCCCGGCTTGAGGAAGAAGAAAATTTGAAGGTTGATGCCCAGGGGTGCGCATTGCACGTGTACATCTGCGGTGATCATACAGACTTGCAAGGGCTTGTTTCCACTTGGAGCATGGCCTCCTTTGGCCTTCATGCCCTCACAGAACCTGCAGATGTGACATGCCTGCACATCGGCCCCGCTTCGACTCCCGAGCGCGGAAAAGCCATGCTAGACCTGGGACACCAAGGTCTGGCTTCCCTTTTTCCTGGACCGCAAGTTGGAGGTGGACCACATCCCCTACCAGGTTCTCGGGGTCTCGTACCACCTTGGCTCTGAAGCCTCAAGCGGACACTACCGCACAGTTTTATGACGACGACAATGAGAACTGCTGTCTCCTCTGGCTGAACTGCATGCCACATGGGGGAGCTGAAGAGGTCTCCTTGCTGGAAGATGAATCCCCCATCCTGACGGACGAGGAGAAAGTGCACAACATCATTCATGACCCCTCGATCAATGACAACTGGCGTGCACAATGGCTTGACCTCCTGGACACCAGCATCCTGGTGGACAGTCCCAGCCTTTGTCATCGGCTGGTCGAGAAATGCATCATGTGCGGCAGGCTGGCCACGGGACTTGAACACCCACATCGAGGTTGTACACCGCTCATGGTGGGACGAAGCTAGTCACTTGGCTGAGAAGTGTGCAGTGAGCTTCATTTCAAAGCGCTCCCAACCAGATGGTGTGCCTGTCAGCCCTTTTACAGTATTGGCCTCAAATGAGGACCACAGCTGCCCGTGCTTGAAGCAATTTTCAATCTTGCATTTGGTGTTGCGGTCCCAGCAACCGCAGCAGGCTCGAGCCTCTACCCTTGCTCGCCTGCTAGATATGAAATACAGCTAAGGGCTGAGACGGCCCCCCCCACACCGCCAGGTGGGACTTGCAAAGGTCCACACGATCATCGACTGATGAGCGTATGAAAGAAAGAAAGAAGAAGAAGAATAAGAAGAAAATGATGATGATGATGATGATGATGATGAATGATGATGGTGAGGCGATGAGAGCGATGACAGATTGACTGTTAGACAGTTGAAGTTGGAAGCCGTTCTTTACGGAGAACCCTTCCCAGGCGCTGTCGGGAATGTCAACCTACAGGGTTTAATACAGGCGGAAACATGATAGAACAAACCAGGAAAATTGACCAGCTGACCGCGTGAGGAGGTGACACAAGTGTCCTGGAGTTAAACAGCTTTCGAGGAAATCAATTTGACCGCGTGAGGAGACATGAGCATCTTGCAAGATTTAGACAACTTTGGAGGACATCAATTCAACTGCGTGAGGTGACGCGAGTGTCTAGCAGGGTTTGAACAGCTTTGGAGAGAATCAATTGACTGCGTGAGGAGGTGAGGAGGTGACACAAGTGTCTTGGAGTTAAACAGCTTTGGAGGAAAGCACTTTGACTGCGTGAGGAGACATGCGTAAGCATCTTGCAGGATTTAGACAGCTTTGGAGGAAATCAATTCAACTGCATGAGGTGACGCAAGTGTCTAGCTGGATTTAAACTGCTTCGGAGGGGATCAGATTGGCTGCGTATGGGGACAACAGTGTCTTGCAGAGTTCTTCAGAAGAAAGACCCTTGTCCTGGTGGTGCGTCATTGTTGCTAATTATAAGCTTACCCATTACCAGCCTTTCCTATATGTCCAATTTCACAAGGCTTCTGGAATCCTGAGCACTTCTATGTCGTGATCATGCCTCCAGATTTGCAGTTTGGAGAGTTTGGAGTGGTTCTTGGTGTCCTGAGGCCAGCGGAGCTGCTCTTGCCACTTCCAAAACGAGATAGTTCCTGTGGGGTCTGCACCAGCTGCACCAGATTTGGCAGGTTGCCTGTGAAAAAAGGTGCAACCCTGGAACTGGACTGGACTGACTAGCCAGTAGCCACCTGCGGTGTTACACACGGCAACAATCAATCTGAGTCTTGAGTCAGCAACCCGCATTGCATCATTGGAGCTCCGCCAGGGTCTTCGGCACTTTGTCCAGGGTTGCAAGAATTGGATTTCGCATGATCTTGGCATTCTTGTGATTGCTACACTGTTCAGTATTCGGTTGAGACTCTGTGTGATCCAAAGAATGTGTTTCTATACAAAGATGCGTTCTAGATGTGATCCAGTCTTCCTGCAGCCGAAACACCAAACAGTTGCATGCATCAAAGGATTTCCGTGCTGCACCGTGCTCAAAAGGCGATTGACTAATGGACCAAAGACCAATCGAGATGAAGCACAATCCAAAACTACATATGTAGACAGAATACATTGAGCACTGTTGGGAGGCCATTGAACTTACCACTCAAGTAGCCGTTCTGGCAAACTTTGCAGCGTCTCTTTCGACAACGCACCGTAGATCCCTGGACCATCATCATGCTTCTCCTTTCCTGCTGCACTTCATTCAATCGCAGCAAATGTCTTTGAGTCTAGGTTCAGCTTAAACCAGCTTGATAAGGTCACCTACTTGCTAATATAGTGAATATCATTGTCACCAACCCAGGCCATAACTTGCTGTAAGCACTGAGTAGTCCATCAAAGTCTAGAATGTCTTGAAGCACGCCAATAATTGATTTGATGTAGTTGGTTCGTTCCCATCACAGCCTTTGGACAATTGGCCGTGCACCTCACATCATAGGCCTTACAAAAATGGCCCAAACTGAAGTGAGGTCACTTGCTTGTGAACATGGTGGGCTAAGCCATACTAAGCCCATGTCCTGATCACATCTTTCAATGGTTTGATGCCGAATTTGATGCCTCTTCTTTTCTGCGCCTGGCGCTGCGCTGGTTGTTCTCCTATGTGCTGTCCGATATGTTGCTGGCATGTGAGTCTCGCGAATGTTGCAACAAACCAGGATAAAAGTAGGAAGCCGTTTTGAACAAATCATTGAAAATGAGACCATGTTGCTGCAAGACTCTACTGGTGACATCTGCAGTCTGGAGTCAATTCATTCTCCCTCAGTTTCCCTGATTATAGAGGCACACCTTTTCCACCTGTTGGATTTTAGATGATTTTAGTGAAACACCAAGACCCAAAAAAACCTTAAGGCTTAAAGGATGTTAAAGGTCATCCACCGACTGCGCTCGCATCACCCCCCAAAAAACAAACTGATCACACACACATTCCGCACGTACACCCACACACACCCACACTGGAGGGTCTAGATTTTGTGCATCAATAGGCCAGCCAGATTGTCAACGTTGTGGCCGTGTGGTGGCATGTGAGGTTCGAGGCAACAAGTGCATCACTACAAGTAACAAGGGCATTACTATTGCTACGAAGGTGGAGGCCAATACTACTAGTAACAAGAAGCCACTACTATAGTATTGCCCTCGCTACAAATAGCGATGCCCTTGTTACTATGCAACTCAAACTAAACCAGTCACTGCCAGCCTTCTCCGCCGACTGTGGCTGTGCTTCTCCTTTCCTGCACAGTTGCAAACCCAATCTTCTGGTGTGTCTCTTGGCTAATACACGTCGTTCCCCCCGAAACTGTACGGGTTAACACTTTTCAATCAGGCCCTCATCCCAACTTTGGCCTGGAACCCAGGAACTCTAGAGCCAGATTTTGTTCGTAACTTTTCGCTTGGAACCCTGGAGCCGTGTGACTCTGAAACCAGCTACTGCCAATCGCTATTTTGAACATCTTCATAACACTAACGAAATCCAAAGGATATCCTTTGCACTTGTGCCTGTTGTGAGTCCGAACCCTACTTTTTGCTCCCACCAAAAATTCAATCTCCCAGCATGCGCATGCCCCAAGTCAGCAACCGTGCACACTTATACAGTGTGCTACATGCAAGAAGTGCCTTCTGAGTGTCCTCTGTCCTTTTCACTTTTATCTTTGCGTTTGTGTCTACGGGTTTGGCCTCAAGAAAGTACACTGAAGCGTAAATGGACAGTACGGGTTCGAAAGTAACGCTGGGACTTCTGCCTTTTCTTTCCATTTCGGCTGACCTGGTGCAATGCATCGTGCAATGCATCTCGTACAGGAAAAGGAATGCAGCCGGCCTCTCAGCATCCTGCAAAACGTGGAAACTACGATCAAAGAGTCACTGGCAATGCTCCACTTTTGATACCCAACTTTGTCAACCAAAGTTGCTTGCGAACTAAAATGCGCTCACAGGCTGAGGAGAATGCAGGAGGCCGACTCCAAGCTGCACCAGCAGAAGCAGCCTCGCGCATTCTGTCTCATTGTGAATGGAAAAGCGGTGTGCTGTGTATATATATATATATGTACACACACACACACACATCTACATTGTAGTACAATATACTATATGAACAATGTAATGTATGATGTATATACAGTATTACTATATATATATATATGATATCCTTAATATGCAACCCAGCCCAGCAGTACATACCCAAGCCCATGCCATACCCACCTTTGAGGGGATAGCAAATGTGTTTACCAGCCGTGCTTGTCAAATGTGGTTAGCTCTTTAAGAGCAGTTTGCGGTTTGCGTGGTTTTGCGGTGTTTAGAAACTTACCATAAACAAAGCCTTCCTTGATCTTCCTTCCTGTTATGCAATGTGCTGCTTTCTTGCTGTTCTGCCCTGCGGTCCTTTCAAAGTGGAATGCGGCTTGGTCGTTTCAAGGAAGTGCACAGTTCAACTGTCAACAAATAGAGCCATTGAGCATAATGCTGTTCGAACGGTTCGACCTTTTTGAGCACGAAAGACACGCGGCAGCTACAGGCTACAGCAACATCATCTATAAAGACTTGTGACATGCGCAACTTTAAACATTCTGCCACGACCTGCGCGGTGGCACACTTTGCAAACTGCTGCAAAGGCAGAAAAAATACTTCATTGGGCGCAAACATGCGCAAACAAAACTATGTTGCTATCGCCACCCACACAACCTCGACATCACTACATTGTCATCTTAAACAACAAGTATCCTGTGCTGCACCCAACGGCCACATCTTAGTGCAAGTACTATGTAGAACTCTCTGTTACCCTGCAGCTTAAGATCGCACATTTAAAACTACTGCGCCTGATACCCATCGTAGTTGTTGGTGTTGGGAGATGGATTCCCTGACAACAACTGTCAAACCTCCTCAGCTTTCTTGCAATCTTCAATGAATTCATCATCTGAGTCACCCCAAAATGACGGTGGCTGCGACCAAGCACCAGCCATGCGTTCCTTGAACACGACAGCGATACATCCGATAATTCGACACAGCCTGCTATCAACAGTCCTGCCCATTCACAGCACTTTGGCCCTGTCAAAGAACGATCTGATCCAATATGAAAATTTGTGCTGAAAGTGATCAACAGTGTTTACTTGCATTTTGCTGATCTGCCTCTTTCTCACAAACTTCCTGGCAGAACTCCGACCACACACATTTTGTTTTCGATCACTTTGATATTTTCACCCTCGGAGCTTCGTGGTACATGCTTCTGGACAACCTAGTTTCAACCATGGAGTTCTGAATTTGAGAAAATCAAGTCGGGCCTTCTGCTTTCTTTTTTCCAATCGAGAAGCAATCTTCCGGTGTATGACCTGACAGCTTCAAAGCAATCCTGCCCGTCAGTAGCACAATTGATCACGATTGACATGCCTCCAGTTCTCGCTCCAGCAAATCTCGGAAAAACCGAACCTGGGTGTGGGCGGCAACACAAATTGGTTGAGTTTCAATTTGGACAAGAATGCCCAAACGCTTCCAGGCTACATGTCTTGCGTTGTCCTCTTAAGTTGTTTTTCACTCACCACTCCACCCGAAGATCAAGTGATCCCTTCAAAGAAAAAATCGGCCTCCACCTTTGCCTTCGGTCCGCAAAGTAAGATGATGATGCTTGAGCATCAACATGGATCTGAAATATTTTTCAATCTGTGTCATTAGCTCTGTCGCTGGGAAGTAGATAGGCCTTAGGCCATGTCTCTTTGTTTGGCATTTTTCTGAATGCGAGGACTTTTGTATATTGGTTTTTTTCCCACAGGGTAGGTCAAATTGCACTTTTTCACTCGCTCGATTTTGTATCTGGAGGTCTCGTGTATATGCGGCTACACCAAGCACTCTGGGTACTGATTATCGCGCACCTCTAGGTACTGATTATCGCGCACCATCACCATCGTTGATCAGGTTGCCCAACCATCGTGATTGCCCCTACGCAGTTTTTCCACCACGGGCACCAGGTCTCGATCCCACTCTTGACAGTATGCCCAGCCACTGCCGAACTTATTAGACACTGCTCAGCTATATCATGCATTCAGTTCTCAACATTGGCCTGTTAGGCCAAGAAGTTCTGAGCCCCGATGGGAGGGCCCTCTATGTGAGTGTGTGTAAACCGCTATTACAAGCGGCTGAGCTAGTGTGAATTTTTGTCTTCACTCCAATAGAATCCAGCAGGGTCACGGGCACATGGCATCTATGACCCACTGTGTGCAACGAAGCTACGGTCATGGATGGGAAGGGACCACCTTCCTGTACCTGCATTTTGAACAATTTTTGAACTATTTTTCACGCTGTCACTCCACTTGTACAGGCTGTTGCAGGCCCTTGACTTGAGGTTTGATTTTTTTGCATATATCGACGGTGTCGCCTATACACACGATGTTTTGGAGGTTGTGGACTTGGGAGGTTCTTGCCTTTACCAACATTCTAAAGCTCCTCCCACTAACTCTTCCCAGTGTGTCTGTGCGGTGACTGCTAGTCAGATGGACAAGGATTGCTTTGAAAATGCACAGGTAGGTACACATTGTAGAATGATTTGAACCATTGACAATATGTGTTTGTACACAACACTTTTTCATCATGTTGCGTCATCCTGAGCTCTCGACATTCACTTCTTCCGTGCAACGCCCGACAAAGTGAAGCTGTCTGCAAACAGTTTTTCCGAATGCGGGTGGACGAACTACACAAACATGCTCTTCTCATGGGTTTCCGTTTTCCTCCGTTCTCTTGCATTTACCTGCTCGCCCGAGCCAAATAACAACCGAAAACAACAGAAAACGATCTCAAATAACAATCCAATCTGGTCCAAGGTGTGCTCTCCGCCCCCCCTCTGACAGTGAACGACTCTGGTCAGTAGCAACCTGCCACAGGCTTTTGGTGCGGTCTTGTCCTGGGAGGAAAGGAGACCCACGCAGTTGGAACCTCTTTCCTTCCTGTGTCCTTGCTTCTTTACCCGCTTTCCGTGTCACCCCGCGTCTGCATCTCTCTCTATGAATCTCTATTTCCCCCCTTTCCCACTCTCTCCTTGAGTTGCAAGCTCTCGCCCAATATCCAAAGCCCCTGAACTTTAAAGACACTAAAAACTAGTGGAAACAAATTCATTGAAACCTTCAGTCGCGCTTCTGCTTTGATCCTCTCCAAACCAGAGCCATCTGCACCAACCTTGCAGCCCAAACTACTGTGTTCCACACAACATCATCTCCCCACATTTACACAAGCATACACAGGTAGTGTTTGTTAAGCTTAGGTCACCATCCACTCCGACATTGATTGCCAGCTGGTTTCGTTTCCAAGAGAGCGGCAAGCTCTGCCACCACATTGAACCTGTGGATCAGTAGTACCGACAAACACATCAATCAACATTGCAAATCTGCTACTTACAGTACATGTTCTGTTTTGTCAAACAGCTCCAAAAGGGGCCTGTAGCAGTTGGTCTTCCTCTGCAGAACACGTTCAGACCTGCCATTGAAGCGTGGGTGCATGTGCACATTGACAATTACTAAGCTGGCTGGGCTAGAAACATGCCCAAACAGGCTCGGACCATGAACCTGCCAAATCAGTCGGATCTGCCTGGAAGTGCTGCTACAAAGCCGCAAGAAACACCCAACAAACAATCAACAAAAAAACACGTATGTAAAAGACCTGATTGGACCCAAAACCCTGAACACAAAAGACTTACAAATTGAATCAAATCGATATCTCGGACCTCTCGCCTGACACTCTTGCAAGCTACTCGTGCGACACTTTGGTTTAGCGGTTAAAAAACAGAAGGTTACCAGGCGTTGAACCGCACTGCAGGGAGTGTCTCACCCTCGCGGGTTTAGCTAATGGATGCTAAAGGGTCAGTTGAAGGGGACTCGCGCAGGGAAATTGAAAAAATTGTGGAAGGGGATGGAGGGGGTCTGGCGAAGGGGGGTTCGGGAAAGGGTCTTGGAAAGTGGACACGCTGCTGGCATTGCTGACAAGTCCTCCCTCTTCTCACCCTGCTCTTCATCACACGGCCGCGCAATAACATGTGGCGAAGCCGACTTTTTTTCAAGTTTTCATTCTTTACTGATTCGTAATGCCCACCGCATCACTCTTAAACACACTACCGAGGATATTCCTGGCATGGTCAACAAAAACCTTCCCGTCCACTCTGCCCAATTTGAATCACATGGTGATGCGATGACAATGCTGTGGCACCGATGATGATGATGATGATGACGATGATAAGGACCATTAGCTGTCAGGTCCCTTCACTCCCCCGAGTGGGGGGCTGGTGCGGTCTCCCTTCCATGGTCGTGCAGGGCATTGGGCACACCACGGGCATTGATTCCCTCGATTACAAGCCCTTTACCCACCATCCTGCAGTTCAAGGCGAGGGCATCGCATCTTGCAGGACACTGAGGAGGTCATGGTCTTGGTCTTTTAGATTGCCATTTTCGGCATTGCTGTGTTCCACCTGACACTCCTCCACGACTTCAGGATCTACCTGAACTCTTCTTCTACTAGCGGACAAAGATCGTGGACACCAAGAACAACCTTCCAGGTCTCTGCAACTGGGACGAGAGCTAACTGGGGTCCCAAATCCCCAGCCCAGGTTGGATTGATTTTGATTATTTTTCATGATTTTGCTGAACTTCAACATGGACTGTTTTGTTTTGGGAAGCTCATTTTGGTTCTGGAAAAGCTTGGCGCGACCGTGAACATCAGAAGGTTCACAGCGCCAGCGTGCGCGGAAGCAATTTGTGAAAAGGAAGCTGGACCATCAGGCGCTATGCATTCCTTCGGAGCAAGGAACTTGTCAAGAAATACCAATCAAAGAGAAGCGCGAATATTTGGGAATACAAATGGGATACTTCAATTTTCAGCGTGACACTATGAAGGTTTGACCTCAAGCCTGCAAACTTCGCTACAAGCAAATGCATCGTTGGTTCACAAAGAATTCCCTGCGCTCGGCTCAGAAGGTGGCTCTATGGCAATCACGTGTACTTCCCGTTGGAATTTATGGACTGGGTGCCACTGGAACAGACAACACGGCCATTCCGCTTTTTCCAAGACTATGGTAACCATGATGAGACAGGCAGCCGGAGATCATTCTTTTTTGACTCACAGATATCACACCTTGCCTTTCTTTCGGAGCATCACCTCCAACATCCGGTAGCGTTGCTTCGGGAGCGGATGGCCTCATAATTCAACGGCGTGAGGACAGGCTTCTTCAGTTGAAATCATCAGACATCCTTCACTTGCTTGATCTTGACACACTGCGCTGCTCGCTCAACCTTGTTGACACCTGGATTCAGGAACTTGGCACGGCTGACATTGGAACCGCGCTTCCTCTGGCAGAGGCAGGTCTGGATTGCCAAACATGCGGACAGTCGTTTCGACACCTCTACACTCTCAGACGACATGAAATGTATACGCATGGAATCATCCATGCCAGTGGACCTCAACTGGAAATAGCTAGAGACTCGGTCGATGGCCGTCCCATTTGTCGACATTGCGGGGAATCCTTTATCAGCTGGCAGAATCTTCGACACCGCATTTTTGCTTTTGCTTGCGCGCAATTTGATCCATCCAAGGCACCACCGGAACAGCTCTACGAGTACTGAGTACCGGACTCGGCTCCTGGAATACTATGATGGCGGAGACATGCGTCCACTTGTACAAGATTGCTACATGGGCAGAGATCATGGGGACGTCTATGCACTGATGGGTGATGTCCTACCCAGCGTGGTTCGTGCCAGAACCTCATCTCCTTGTGAACTATGTGAACAACAATTCCGCAGCAAAACCCACACCTGTCCTGCGAAGAAGCAACTTGGGCCTGCTCTGGCCTGCCGGAAACATCGAGCATAGCCTTTGGTGCCATCGCGGCGGCGCCAAGCTGGGCACCAGCAACCGCCTTGGCGGTAGCTGCGGCGGGACCAGTGGTCGGATCCATCCGCTTCTGTCCTCCAGGCACACTTGCAGCCTTGGATTCCTCTCCCTTTGCACTCGTCTGGTGCTCCACAAGCTTTTTGACGCCGTCGCTTATGGAAGATAGATGCCCTTCGATGTTCTCCAACGTCTCTGCAATGGAGAGAAGTTTCCTGCGTGTCCTCCTCCTGTTCCACAACCACCCCAGAGGATGGAAGCGCAATTCTCATGCAGTCAATGCGCCCGGAAGCTTGTGACCGCCGCAGGGCTCCATCAGCACCGAACCCGGAACGCACTCACTTGACGACCACCAGGACCTATTTGCTGCCAGAGATCAAACTCCAGGCAAAACTCAATGCGCTCATTGCCATGCTCAATTTTTGAGTGTGGCTGCTCTTCGGCGCCACATCGACGGTGGGCACTGCGCCGAGCCTCTTCCTGATGACCCACCTCTTCTGTGGCATCCAGTGATCATCAGGCCTTCATGGAGGGACGTTTGATCATTTGATGGCCTACAAATCCTTGGTCAGGCGGCTGGGGTACATATGTGGCCCCTGTATCAGGAAGCTCAGCCTCACTCCTGAAGCACCTGGGCCATCAGCACAATTGCAACTGGCACCTGGCAACATCCTACGCCGAGTGGCTTAACTGACAGCGCTCTTCGGAATCTGGGGTGTTCCTGCCTCAGGCCTCCATCACGCACGGTCTTCACGCAGCTGGCCCTCTTTGTTCATCATGATTTGAACAAATTTCAGGAGGCAAGTGATGAACTCATCATGGCTCTTGCGCTACGACTCGATCTTCAGGTTTTGAGTCCTACGATCTCACTGTCCTTCCCTGACCTGGACAGCCTTCTGACGGCTGGGCACTTTGAAGAGCTCTTTGCGGATGAGGCACACTGCATGCTTAGTACCTGGTGAAATCGACCCCCGTGACATGCTTCAGCACTTGTGGAACCAACGTGCCAAGCGTGGCAATAGAGGAAGTCTGTAATTATACAAGTACCTCTCCCTCAACCAACAGAAGCAGCAAACTTGCTCGGTTTGCCCTCCAACCTGCCTCCCTTTTAGCAATCCTTCATCATGGACATGGAAACCAACCAGGTCTCCGAGATGTGGGGAGCCTTGAACCAATGGGTAAGGATGGAGGTAGACGAGGAGAAGCAGAGTGTCAAGAGGCCCCGATCCACTACGTCGAATGGAGGGAAGAGCCAGGGCAAAGGAAAAGGAAGAAAAGGACAGGGGAAGAACCAGAGCACCAATGGCGGATCCACACCAGATTCAAACAACCTGCTGCAGGCACTGAGCAGTTTGGTGCTAAGGCACGAAGACACACTTCAATGCCTGGCCACGGAGACGGACTTCTTCGTTTTTTTGAGCGCGGGCCCAGGGTCCATACTACCCATCATGATGACACAAACAACGACTTGGCACCAGACGCCACAGGCGGAGAGGTTGCACCCATTGAGGATTCTGGTTCTGAAATCCCTGCTTAGAAGCTTCAATCCACGGCCTCCTCAGATCCCTTGATCCAAACGTTGCTACGCCTGGGGGTTCCTGCAGCTCGAGGACAAGACGGATGCCTATGTCTTTCCCAGGATGAGATGGAACCACAACAAGCAGATCATGGAAGCCCAAGAGGACGCTCCGCTGACCACCGCTCAGGCAACACAGACCTTGACCAGGATGCTAACTGATCAAGCGGTTTGGAGCTCTTGGACCATCACAGCAGATCCAAAAGATCATGACCACGGACACCGACAAACCCTCAGCAGTCGTCCCCTCAAAAATCACCCTGCCCTGACCAAGCCACACGCGTCCGAGATACGGGGCCTGTGGCTCAGGTCTTTGGCAGCTGGTTTTGGGGAGGATGAGACCAGCAACCGTGCAGCGGTCGCCAGTGGGGCAACGGCTGGGCAAGATGCTTGGGGATCTCCAGACACCTCTACTCCTTCTCTACGGCCGCTGATGAATCCAGCTGGAGCGCAAGAGAGGCAGATGGCCGGAGCCATTTAGACAACATGATGTGACTGATTTTGCTCACCATCTCCTTCAGCAGCTGAACCCCAATTTTCTCATCTGTTGTTGGGAACCCCGGCTGGAGCAAGACGGAGAGATCCGTGTGGTGGATCAAAGCGCCCTGCATTGAACAAAAGAGCACCCTGGCCGACTGCTCTTCAAACTCCGCTTTCGAAAACAGTCATGTCACTGTTTGTACAACATGCCAAGCTCCTTGCTCTTCCTGGTTTGATTTGGTATCCACAGTTTGCCTACATCCCTGGGCGTGGTGCATGGGAAGCCATCTCACGTGTGACTGCCCACGTTCGTGAGGTCCAAACACCGCTGGCTCGCTGGAAATACGACGCCAATACAGCTGGAAACGGCCGAGAACAGAAACCTCGGGTGTACGGAGGCTGCCAACTTTTCCTAGATCTCACGGGGGCCTTCGATGCAATGCCTCGCGAACACCTCTGGGATGCTTTCAGACTGCTTAATCTAATCCTGTCGCTGTCTGGAAGCTGAACAAGCCACATTCCGCGGCATCCGACAAGGATGCCAAGGTGCACCCTTCCTTTGGGCCTGCTTCTAGAGCAAGCTGCGACAGAGACGGACGTTCGATGAGAAACAACTGTACCTTTTATGCTGATGATGATGGTCGCGCGTGCTTTG